TGTATTCCCCCTCCTGATTTTATGTGAGCCGCCCTGAGTCCCCTCAGGGAAAAGGGCGGCCTATAAATGTTAATAAACTATCAAACTAAACTATGTCTCCCCCTCCCGCCAAAAATGCTTGTATTTTTCTTTTTACGTGTCCCTAGGTTTCAGCTGAAGCACTTTCTATGTTTACGGGAGAGGAAGAAATATTTGCTTTTCAACGGACTATCTCGCGACTTACCGAAATGCAGACAGAGCAATACTGGAAAGATGGAGATCGGAGCAAAAAAAAGTTGCAGCCAGAAGGTTAAAAATAAACAGTAATTGAAATGAAAAAGGGCTTCAAGCACATTAACTAACTTGACACTTTATGTATCATGTTAGTGTTAAAAACTACAGCATTATTTACTGGCCCCCTTTAATGCCAATCTATAGATATAATTTTATTCAGTCTAACATGAAACGTTTATTGACCAAATAGAACATTTCCTTTTAACTGATGATGACTGAAAAAATATTTATTATTGGCCATATCACATTGTGCTTTGCACAAATAAAAGATACAAGGTAGAAACATTAAATGCATATTTTGAATCCAACAATCTCTGTTCTATGGTTAAAAAATAAAATATGCAAATGTATTTGGAGTATCCTTGATTTTTAAAAATCATTTTCTTTTAGGTAGCGATTGAAAATTTCATATATATTCACAAAGTCCCCTGGGTAACACCAATTTACAGTATTCCACTTGCCAGTTGGTGTGTTTTTCTGCTGCCAGAGTATGTTCAAGTGATAGTTTCCTATATTATTTATTTATTAATCATAATTACTGCATATAAACATCAGTTTCTCAGACAAGTGACTCTGAGTGACATATATAACAAAGCTAAAAACCATATATGGTTTATATACATTTATATACAAAAAAATTAATATTATGATCCTCTCTGCTAGATTTGGTGGAATGGGCAGATGTAATCCAGGGAATGGATGATCCTCAAATAACCCTCCGATACATATGAATGTGTATTATATTTTTCCTGTTCCTTTTCCTCACCCTCCCGTACTCTGATATACCAGTCTCTCTGTTGAAAGACAAAGTTATCTTTCAAATAATTCAAACTGGTTTAGCTCTTGACACATTCATTCAATGTCAATGCATTCCCCATGAAATTGAGCAGCACACTTATACCACTTAACTCCAATAGTGGGGAGATGCTACCAGGGTGTTTTTGTCACATCTGGAATTTTTATGCTCATGTCCTCCCAACTGGACAAAAACAATACTTACATCCTATTGAAATATAAGCATTCAAAGTGTGACATTCGTAGCAAGCAAATGACAGGAAGGGATTAAGCATGATTAGCATGCTGTAGATTGGCACGACATTACAGGTAGTTGCTCCGCAGCTTTGCACCCTCTGAATAAAGCAACTCTTTCTGAGCCCTTTTATACATTCCTGTGGAGCAATCAGTCCAGACCTGGGAGTGTGCAGCTGTTGCAGAAGGCTAACCCAGGCTTAATACTTTGTGAGAGAAGGTATTTAATTATTGCTATAATTATTGTGATTGCAAATATTGAAAAATTAGGGACACACCTGTAATATGTGAGATTTATGGCAGCCATTGCACAAAACACCTCTATCCCAAGATTAAAATAATGATTTATCTTCATACAGTTATGAAAGGTTTTTTTTAATTTAATGAGTGAAAGTAGTAATATATTACTTTAAAAGTATTTTTCTTTAGAAATCACGGCCTTTAATGTATTATATTTTGGTACTATATTAAACTTACTTAAATATAATTTGGTGTGTATAAATTTAATAACTAAAGAGCAATTTATTTCCCAAATATAGTAACCATTTCAACATTCATCCCAAGCATTCTTGATCTCAATTATCAGAATCTAAAAATATCTGATTCCATTATTTCAAAATTAGTACCTATCTTTTTGTTTCTATTATGTGAGAATTCATATCTTTTTTTTAATAAAAGGCTTTGGAACAATCTAGGACCTTGTTATAACTAAAATCTACATGCAATCATAATAATCACATCTAGGGCATTATTGCACCTTAAAATCCAATCTAATCAGATGCATGAAGTTTAATCCTAATTTGGTTTACTATACAATTTCTGTTTTTATTGCAATACATTGACAGGGCAAGTTCTCTGAAAGTTTCAATATTCTTCCTATGATCATCTTTATTATTCTTTCTTTTTGCTTTTCTTTGTGCTTTAGATTGTAAGACTCTTGGACCAGGAAACCTTTACATGTATTGTTTGTGAAATGCTACGTATATAAACTATGCTATATAAAAATAATATTAAACTCACCCTGTAACTGAATACTAAGCAGCAAGGTATATGGTCAAGTATTGCTCTGTTACCAATAATAGAATTATGACAATAGGAGTGGCTAGATCTTATTGAAACACATCCTATCTTTCTTCATTGTTACCAAGTTGCAGTATAAACATTTGAGGTGATTATTGATTTATTGCCAAAAGAACCAGAGATATTATGTAGAACAAGCATAACATGATTTCTGATCAGTCTCTTGGACAAGAAATCATCTCTTATTCAGTCTTGGAGACCTTACATTTCCTTTTTGTCAACAAGTTTTTTTACTCTGATGTTTCATACAATGTGGAGAAATAAACGGTTCATTTTATATTCTGCTCTTGATAGACACCTGCAAGAATTTGAAGGTATGCTTTGATCAGCCTTTGAGGATAAAAAGAATGGTTCAATTAGGAGTTTGATCTTTATAAAGATAAAGGAATGGAAGAATAAGCAGCTAAAATATATTAATAATTTATATTATGATTGTACTTCGTATAAATTAAATTACTCCCAGCATTTTAAACTATTTAATAGAAGGAGGAATGGTGGCTAATGCATGACATCGAGAATTCAGCATTTTGTTTTGCAAAAACTGTTTCTGGATGGAGATTATCCATAGAATTCCAATGGCTCACTAACTCCATGGCCCATGCAACATACTTAGTTTGAATCTGGTTTTTTTTCCCCCCTGTTCCAGTTACATTTTTTCATAGGAGTGAAAGAATCATCTTCTTTTTCCATGTCTGGATTAAACTTTAAAATGCTAGAATAAAGTCGTCTTCTTGGTTTTGTCATTGGCCAAAAATAAGTAATTATTGGCACATGTTTCTGATAATAGCTGATATATCA